AGCCTGCTTTCTCCAGCACACTGCCTGACTCTTGGCATAAAATATGTATGTTACCGGGTATGTGTGTGTGTGTATGCACTGAATGCCATTTAAATTCAGCTAGAAATGACTGTGCATATGCATTGTACAAATGGCATAAGGAAGTGTCTTCTCTATCACATCCCTCAGTTGGGATGGGAATCTGGTTCCCACTCTGTGCAGAGACCCACCTGTGGTAGGACAGTCTACATAACGGTCCTCAAAGATCACTGGCAGGGTGCTCCAGTCGCCATCGATGTCAGGGCACTCTGCAGGCAATGGGGGCATGCTGGCCAGGTACTCCGAGTTTCGTACATCCAGGGACAGCTGGCTGTGGGTCTGTATGCTAGGAACACACAGAAAGGTGAGCATCATCCCCAAACTCACTTACATAAAGTCCATTCCGACTAATAGCGACCCTAGAGGACACCAGAGAACTGCCCCCATGGGTTTCCGTGACTGCAACTCTTTGGGAGTAGAAAGCCTCCTCTTCTTCCTGTGGAGTGACTGGTGGTTTCGAACTGCTTACCTTGGCGTTAGCAGCCCAGCTCCTGGTGAGCACCATAGGAAAGTTTCAATGCTTTAAAAATTGCTTGCTCACTCCTCCCAAGAAAATGTTCAGATAATCCATCCATCTCTCTGTCCACCCAGGCTGCCTCTCCTCCACCACCCACCTCAGCCTGCAAAGCTATGCCCTCCTTTGGCTCTGAAATGGGTCTAGGTAGTCAGGCGGTGGAGGATATGGGTTGTATGATAAGATGAAGCAGCAGGGTACCATCTGCACTTCCTCTGCCCCACCTGCCTCAGCCAGCCTTCAAAGCCATCGTTTGTTCTGGGTGTGCAATGGGTATGGGTGCTGGATTTCAGAGCCCAGAAACTGTGAGTCCAGGAAGGACCAGAACACAAAGACCCCAAGTCAGGATGCTCTACAATCTGCTCCTCATTGTCCCAAATGCCCTCATCTTATTGCTTCAGCAAAATCGATCGCCTTCTAACAGACACGGCCTTCCTGATCTCCTGGGCATGCTGCTTAGCATCTGATTTCCAATCGAGTCTCTCTCGTTCACTTAGGTAGCCCTGGTACCTTGACCAATGACTAGCACACAGCGGACCCTCCTCAGTAAAGACTTGTATGAGGGATGCGTGAACCAACAGTGTATATATGGAAGTGGGAGATGCTGTGTAAGCCCAGATTCTCAGAGGGCAGACTGGAAAACTCGGCTATGGGAGGGACGGCAAAGACCACTTGGGTCTGGAGGGTGAAGTTCCTTGAGAAAATGTTGAGCCTAGACGTCCTGTCAGGGTGGAAGCTACTAAGTCAAGAAATGCCACCTCAAGATTTCAGGGAGATAGTAAGTCTGTGAGTTCATTTACACATGTGGTACAGGTGTGCACATGTATGCTTTCATGCGTGTGGGTGTTCGTGAGGGCTTGTGTGTGCTGTATGCTGTGCATGTGCACAAGTGCATAGGTGAACATGCGGTCGCATGTGTATGTATGTACGTGTAGGTGCAGAAAGTTGTGGAAGGGTGGCTTTGGGGATGGAAAGAAGGCAGGGTGACAAAGGTCGGCTGGGAGATAGAAGCAAACTGGGAGAAAACCTCGGATCTGGATTAAGGGCGTAAACCTGAGGGTGTGGAGGAGGAGCTGGAGCCCAGCTCCTTATCGGCAACATTCGAACACCTCCTGATTTGGGGGTGAACTCTCCATGGTCCCACACGATTCTCCACTTCTACCATCCCAGTTAAATTCCTCCCCATCCCAGTTCCACTGCCTATGCCCCAATGCTTGACATAGCTGTAGACACTGCTGTGTGACACTGCGTTCGTGAATACGGAGAGATGGAAGTATACAGTTGATACCATTCGGTGCCCGTGAGCTGCTTCTGATGCACGGGGACCCCACGCACGGGACGGGGCAGAACTTCCCCTCAGGACCATCTAGGCTCTGATGTTTACAGGAGGCGAAGAGCAGATCTTTTTCCTGCTGAGACTCTGGGCGGCTTCTAACTCAGTCAGTAGCTGAGCTCTTAATAATTGCATCATTAGGGCTCCTATATCTACTGGTAGCTTATTACCTCATTAGAAACTTCCATAGTGCTTACAACAAATCTACGAGGATCAAAATAATCTCCTCGCTATCTGAAGGGCTCCCTCTCTCGCCAGATCCGGGTTACTGTTAAAATGTCCCTTCCTTGTGGACGTCTCCCTGGCGATTCTGTTCACTCGCACCCCCTGTTGCCCTCACTCTGATATATCCTTCCCTGGAGCACTCCTTATTAGTTCACAAGGCATATTTATGTTTGATTCTCTACCACTAAACTATTAGGTCCACAAGGCAGGGCCTTTTCTCCTTTGGCTCATTGCTGAGTAGCCAGCACCCGAGCAGCAGCAGGCACGTAGCCGACAATAAATGCATACTTGTGGAGTAAGTGAACCCCTGGAGTTTCAGCTAGCACACTACAGCTCAGAGACGTTAAGGAACAAGTTTGGTGTGACCAGCTTAATAGATTCTATATTTGCAACCAAATATATGAGGTTTGAAATGCCACGGTCTCTCCATGATATGTTTTTCCAGTAAAAGAACAAAAAAGTGATAATAATCCATTGTCGTTATTGTTTATCCTGGCCCATAGGGCCCCTCGGGGCTTGCATCTGCCTACCACTCTGCAGTTGCTCCCACCCCATTTCTCACGTGTCCTTTCCATGTGGGCATACCTGTCGATTGGTCCTCGCTGCTCTTCAAATGTGCTGAGCTGCCCTGTCAGGATCTGTACACAAGCCCTTCCCTCTGCCTAACCCTCTGTCCCCGTGGCCTGCTGTAAACCTGCAAGCAGGGCTCTGTCTACACTATGCTGTATCGCCAAAAAGTCCTCTGTGATCCCGCTGACTAAAACAACCCCATGCCCCACCGTGTGTTGGAGCCTGTTCATACACACTCTTAAGAGTCGACTGGTCACAAATCTTCCCAACTCCGCATTCAGTGACCTCGCATCAGGAGCTTGAAATAAACCAGCCCTGCAGAAGTATTGACACCAAGGGAATCGGCCAATCATAAAAACCAGAGTTTGTGTATCTATGTGTGATTGATTGGTCTACTGTTCTGCTTTATTGATTTTTATTTTTATTTTGCTTTTTGTAGAGTTGGTCATTAGACAGGGACCAAGGCACTAGCCACATCCTTTCTAATCATTTCTGACCCACCTCCATTGACTTGCCTTCGCCTGTCACTACCTGAAAGATGGGTGTGCACCTTGCTTTGAACAAACAGAAGGGATAAAGAAAACCAAAAGCCCTGTTCAAGACACACTCTACAGAATGGAAAGGCCTGGGTTTTAAATGCCGGCCATTGGAATGTGCAGCCTCCTCATTTTGCACAAGTAACTGCCGTCACCCCCAGTCTTCCGGGAGAGTGGCTGCTGCTGCTGTTAACTGAGGTCCAGTCCAGCTGCCCTCACGGGGCCCTGTGTGGCAGGATACAAATGCACCCTGGGGTTTCTTCTGGGCACACATGACTTGGTTGTCTCCCAGGGAGTCACTGGACAGGTTAGAACCAGTAACCTCTCAGTTCCCACCCGAGTCTTTCACTCTTGCCCCATGTGTTAGTCTGGGTAGACAAGAGAAACAAATCCACAGAAACTCATATCTACATTAGAGAGTTTTATATTAAAGTTAAGTGTACATTAAGAAAGTATCCCAACCCAGTCCAGCCCAAGCCTTTAAGTCAGGCATTAGCCCATAACTAATCCTACACAGATCTACAAAGTCCTCCTCAAACTCACAAAACTCACACAATAATGCCAAACACAGGAGGAAAGCCGAATCAGTAAGCATGTAAGCATCTCAGCACTGGCAGGGGTCTCTGCACGGCTTCTCTGGCACCCAGGGCTGCATCAGTGTAGGTCCATGTGGCTTCTCCTCAGGGATGTCTCGCAGGAAGTAAGCCTTGCCAGCTGAGGCAATGAACTAACTAAGGCAGCCGCACACTGGTCCATCAGAGAACAGGAGACCAAAGAACCAGGGTCATTTATCTCTCCGACCTGCGATTAATCCTACATGTGTTTTTCGGCCAAGTTGAAACAATAAACCTTAGTATCTCAGCCAATCAGGACTCCTGTCCAGAAGACTGGCCTTTCTGGTTGCCCAGCAATCTCCTGTGTTGTCACATTTTTGAGAACAGGACTGAGACCAGGCCGTGTTAGCATTGCCTGGTCATCACCTCGTTCCGTGGTGACCTTGGAAACAGCTAACCAGGGGATGGCCCTGACTGGTGACCTTCTGTTTAGTGGCCCCCAAAGTCATACTTAGTCGTGTCGGATTCACCATTCTGCTTTTAGTTTTGGAAAATATCTCCAGCCAGTGGCAGCTGGGGACCCGAGTGAATGAATGCATAAAGGAGCCAGTGAGCCGATGCTCCTCTGGTCAAGCAGTATGAACCAGAGCTTAGAACCGCTTCCTTTTGGCTCCCCTGCTGCTTGAGAATACACCTTGACACTGCAGAGCCACAAAATCCAAATTTACATCATAGGCTACCGAACTCACTCGGCGACAAGAAAGCAAAAATCATACCCGGGCCTGTGCCATCCTCACTATTGTTACAGCCATCTTGTCAGGGCCTTCCTGCCTCTCTTCTGCTGCCCCTCTACATTACCGAGCATGGTGTCCTCCAGGGACTGGACCCTTCGGACCATGCATCCAAAGTATGTGAGGTGAAGCCTGTGCCCTTGCTTCTAGGGAGCATCTGGCGGTCATCTGTCCAAGATGGATTTGTTTGCTCTTCTGGCAGCCCATGTTCATTCAGTGTTCTCCATGGGCACCCTAATTCAAAGCATCATCTCTTCTAGCATCTTCCTTAATCATACAGATTAGTAAGTAAGCACAAGTAAGCCTGTGCTTACTTGGCTAGTGGCTTCTCCATCCCTGCATGCAAATGTCTCTCCTGGTGTCCTTCTCAGTGCCAGAATCCACAAGGGAAATGGTGTCACTTTGCAAACAGATTGAGGAGTTGAGAGAAAAGAAAGCCACACAAATGAGGGTGGAAAGATCTCGCTGTCCTGAATGATGTACGGACCACAAGTGCTCGCCCGCTGGATGGACGGTCGTGCCTGAGCTTCTGCTGCTCAGGGAGATCCACCAGTGAGCCTGACCTCTTCTCTGCTCAGCCCTGAACTCACGTACTTGAGTGCTGTCCTTTGAATCTGGAAGAAAGGCAGGCTTAGGGAGCCATCCTTCCTAAGGAGGCATCCCAGGTGTAAGCCTTCGGCCGAAGGCACACATTGCTTTGCTGCTGCAGAGTCGGGGGTTAGTCCTGTCTGTTCTGACGGAGCTGGTGGCCAGGCACCTGCTTCTAGCTTATTTCACACAGAGGACTCAGTGCCAGTTTCTTCGGGGAGCGAGGACGTCTTGGTTCTGGCCCACTGCGCCATCATCACTCAACAAGAGAGAGCATGGATGGCACAGCAGTGAGTTTTCATACATGTACCTGTGGAATCACGACAACACTGGGAGCTTCACAAATTCCATTTCCTTCAATGCCACTCTTTCCATGAAATGTGTGTGTGTGTGTGTGTGTGTGAAGGTATGTATGACGTATGTGTGCGCATTGTACATGTATAACATATGCATGCGTATGTGTGTGGCAGAGTCAGTTACTTATTAGGCTGCAAATCACAAAGTCAGCAGTTCGAAAGCACCAGCCGATCCATGGGAGAAAGACGAGGCTTTCTACTCCCGTAAAGAGTTACCGTCTCGGATACCCACGGGCCGTTCCTCCCTTTGCCATCAGGTCACAGTTGACTGGATGGCAGTGAGTATATGCATGCACATATGTGTGTGTGCTCATGTAGAGATATATGTATGTGTATACAGCCCCACATAACAATCGAAACACTTTTAAAGTGGCAGGCCCCCCCAACGCCTCAGGCAGGCGTGGAGCCCTGAGGGCAGGGCACTTACAGACTCTCCTGGAATGTCAAGACTGTGAACTTGTGATGCTCCATGTAAAAGAAGGCCTCCGAGAACCGCCGGACCTGAGGGTGGGGGGAGACGGCAACCGGTGAGGCCCTGGGCCACGATCTCAGCTGCTGTGTAGGTGAGGACACCCGAGGCTTGGGGTGGGCAAGGGGCGCGGGGAGGGGAGCACTCGACAAGGAGGAGCCCAGCATCTGGGGTTTCTGTACCCACTCTCCTAGCTCCCTGCTGCTCTTTCAGACTCTGAGCCCCGACCTGGGACGGGGGCGTGGGCCCATGGGTGCCTATTGGATCTTGCAGCGCTTCCTGTCAGTTGACGTTTAGTTCACATTTATTGGCCTAGGGGACAAGCCCCTTACACACACACAACACACACAATTAGTGGCTGTCAGTCCATTCTTGTTCACGGTGACATGCCCCCCATGTGTCAGAGTAGAGCTGGACTCCACAGGGCTGGCCAGGGCTCGGCTTCCATAAGCAGAAAGCCAGGCCTTTCTTCCTAGACCCCTTGGGAGGACCTGCCTGGCTAACCAGGTGCAAGGACTGTGATGCCTCTCACACCAGGGACCCTACCCAGAAACCAATTAAACTGAATTTGCAAAGTCAGCCATGTGCGGAGGCTTCCAAAAGTTGGTGGGTGAATTCCACAACCCATAATTCCACGCTTCCCTGAGTTTTTGAAGCTCCCCTGAGTGTACCTGTGAGACACTCCTGGGACGCTGGCCCTCAGGTTCCCCACCCCACCCCCATCCTCATGCTCTAAATGGGAAGGCTGGTGGCTCTTATAATGCATTCAAGCTTTGGACAAGAACCCCCAGCTGCCGGTGGAGAAAAGAGACCCTGAGAACCCTATCTTTTACTTGATACCACATTTAGGTCAGGCGCTTCCAAGGGCCGGGCAGCCGCCGTGCCGGCGGGCTCTGTCATCGTCTGAGCTAGTTGTGAGGATACGTTCAGGACAAGAGCTGCAGAGACAGGGCATGTTGGGGAACAAGGTGCAGCCCCCACCCTCAGGCATGCCCATAAGTGGCCCCAGCACCACCTTGTCCAGGGGATCTTCCTGCCAGAGAGGAGAGCACTGGTGTGGGCACCACCTTACCCTCAGCGTGTGATGTTCCTGGGTGAGATAGGTGGTCACTTGGGGGTGCAGAGTGACGGTGTCCAGGAACTGGGTCCACAGGGCCACCAGGTGGGAAGTGAGCCAGGCCAGGTCTTTGCTGATCTGCTCCGCGATTTTCTCCGGGTTGTTCAGCATCTGGGGGGCAGAGGAGGGTGCGCAGAGCCCTAGAGCCAATTAGCCCACTGCGGCCCCATGACTGGCATGCTGGCTGACTTCTCTGTGCCCCCACAGACCTCTCTCCTCCCTCGGCACGCCTGGGGCATCCAACCAGGGCGAGTCAAAGCCTGTGGCCACACAGGAAAAATTGATCAAGGCTACAGCTTCAAAATCCCTAAAATCAGTTGCCGTGACCTTCTGCCTTGCCTTGAATTGAACTGGCCCGGCAGGCTCACTGTCTTCACCGGACGTGTTTCTGAAGGTGTCCAAAAGAGACTAAGACAGGGAAGTGACAGAGAGAGCTTGTCTCAGGGACATTGAAACGAGTTTTGTTTGGGATTCACCCAGTCAGGCTTTTTGATCCACTCTTGTGTTACAGCTCCGAGTCCTACAGGCTCAAGTGAGGTCTCACTCTGCAGTGTGGCAGAGATACAGTGACGATAGTCCAACACCGAGGTCGTGTCTCGATGTCTAGACTAATGCACCTCCCCAAAAGAATAATGCACCCAAGCCCTTTGTCTTGGGCTCAGGAAGGCCTGTTGTATTGCTTTCATTTGTCTAACTTTGTGTAAGTTTTAGATACAATGTATGCCTGGCTTCCTATAGCCTCTCCCTGCCTTTGATATTTTCCTTGTGCTCCTACCTCCTTTGCAATTTCTCTTTGCTAACTCTCTATCCCAGCACCATCCATCTCCCTCAACTCGCCTTCCCATGACCAGGGCTGGGGACACTGAGTTCCAGGCACCTTTCCAGTTCCCTGCGCTGTGAGCAACGACCGCCCACCCCTTGCAGCTCAGGACCAGAGGGACAGCAGCAGGTTCTCGGGCGTGGCCACACGCCACAGCCCATCCAAGTCTCAGCCTGGTGCACTGCAGCCGCTACAGCTTCCAGCTCTGAAGATCCACGAGCAGACTAGTGGTGCCCTGGTGGCACAGTGGATGTAGCACTGGGCTGCTAACCACACAGTCACAGGTGGTTTGAACCCGCTTGTTCCGTAGGAGAAAGATGAGGCTGTCGGCCGCTATAAAGAGGTTACAGTCTCACAACCCCTAGGAAGCAGCTCTGTTCTGTCCT